ACGGAGGCTGACGGAAAGTCATACTGGACCCGGCACAAGCGCTGCGGCAGCGCCGCATTCCCCGAACCAACAGAAGGTGCTCTGCTGCTCCCCCATGCTACAAATCTGAAGGATGTGCGCGGATTATCTCCACCGTACACTGTCACACTGCCTGTAGACGACAAGGCGCCGCCCGGTCCTCGTGTTTGCGCGGGGGAGCCCGAGAGAATAGTAAAAATAATCCTTCCGGCACTCCACTCCAAAATGCCCATTCTTTACACCGAAGGTTTTCTTTTCCCTTTTTTGTGGGTTTGAGAAACGAGCGTACACATCCTGAAAGGTCCGCGGTTCATTCCGTGTTTGCGGGGACGTCACATAGCTGGATTTAATCATTATAGCCTGCTTGGAAGATTATGATGATTTCATTCACCCAAAAAGCCTCAACAACTGCCAACGACAGGTGATCAGTGTACAGGATGGCCAACAAGTTCCTTCAGCTACTTTGTACTAATTGAGAGATGTCTAATACCGACAAGAATGATGAATTATCATCGTATTCATGTAATTCATTGATAAAATATTTTAGCTGATTTATAGAGGGCATCCTTCTTTGGAAACAAGGCGTACGTTTTTCAGTTTCTGTGCACTACCGGGAAGGAACAGACATCCAACACTGAGCTAACGATAATAAGCATTTTTGTTGTTTGAAGTTTTCTTGACCTGACATGTGCTTGAAATATTTTGCTACACACTTGATGATGACGGAGGCATGTTGCAAGCCAGATGTGGATATTTCGGCAGGATATTGAAAATATTGTTTAACTATTCTTCAAATGCTTGATGCAAGCAGATAACCATCACATATTATATCAGTTGTCATGGTGTTCAAGTAATGTAGCATGACTTCCTGCAATCTTGACAAAATAACTGATACTATATTAGCAGCTACTGTCGAACATTTATTGCAATACTTACACTTGTTTTACACTTGGTCTACAATAACTTATTTCATGCATTCATAGATTGATTGATATGTGGGGTTTAACGTCCTAAAGCCACCATATGATTATGAGAGATGCCGTAGTATAGGGCTCCGTAAATTTCGACCACCTGGGGTTCTTTAACGTGCACCCAAATCTAAGCACACGGGCCTACAACATTTCTGCCTCCATCGGAAATGCAGCCGCCGATGCGGGGATTCAATCGCGCAACCTGCGGGTCAGCAGCCGAGTACCGTAGCCACTAGACCACTGCGGCGGGGCCACGCATTCATAGACAATTGATCATAACGCGTACCTCAAATAAAGGGGGGGGGGTAGACTACATGCACAAGAATCTCTTGTACGCAAGCTCCTCTTCAGGGCACGTGCACGCAATCATGCAAATCGGAAACTGAGCTCTACACTCCTAAATATTTCACGGTTTTCATTTCATGAACACACTTCACAACACTGGACAGATTCGCTCAAATGTGACATGGTCCACAGAACTTCACCACAGCGCTACACACAACAGCACTCGTACGGCGTTGCACATTACGAATGACAACAATGACGGGTTATAAAACTTGCCTATATTTATCGTAGTAGAAGCTAACGCTCGCAAGCCTTCAAAATTTATGCATACTATTTGCTGCGACGAACGGCATACAGAGAACACACCCGACGCTAACACTTGTTGCGATGATTACAAGCTTTTCACTTCGGCGCGCACTAAACGCATATCCTGCTTTAGAAAGGTGAATGATCACATCTCAGAAGTCTTCGAAGTTCTTTGCGATTACACTGAAAGATGGACGGTACATCCAGGCAAGACACTAAACGACGACACTCGCATCCGCAAACACACCTTCGCTCGTTTCTTTGTTTCCGCTGTCGATCGCACGTGCTGACGGTGCAGTGAACACTGGCTGGCTACCAATATTTCCCCAAGAGTCTCACAGCGCTTACGATGGTCACAACGATAAAATTAGCTGTTCTTTTTCTTTTTCCATGTCGCTGCAGCGCCCGCTTCAGCAAGCGCCATGTTTGCCAAGCGAGCTGATGGTAGCCCTACACGGGGCGGCCGTCCAGGCCGTTTTCCGCAGTAGCCAAAGAGAGCCGAGCCATGCGAGTCGGCTTGCGGCTTGCAAAAGTTGAGAGCCGCTCTGCCTGACGTCACAGAGAGGGCCGCTCTAGCCCATTTGTGCGGTGCGGGTGTGCGGCTAGCGCGTGTAAGGGCCCAAAGGGCCCTTACTCCTTCGTCGTTGTCGTCCTCCGCTCGCAGGGGGTTGTGGGTTCGACCTCCTTCTTCGTAAGCCGGTGGCAGAAAGGGCGTGCGGCCACTCGCACGCTAGTTTTGTTCGCTGACCCGGTTTCCTTCTCCCTGACGAGAACAATAGAGGTTTTTAGTTTGACGTTTTTTGTGGTCCGCTCCGCTCCGGGAGCACCCGCGAAGCCACAGCGGAGCGGCGGCCGATTTCCTCTTTTAGTTATTCGTTGCCGGCAGCGAAGCGGACCTTTCGCAGTTGCAGCGCCCTCTGGTCGTTTTCATTGTCGGTAAACAAAATAAAAAAACATTTTTTTCACGTATACAAAGCGAAACAATAACGTATAAATGATCTTTTCATGAAGTATTTAGATATCCACTTCCAATGTATTAACCGCCGTATTTTTTTGACAAAGAAGAAAGCTCTGACTTGATAGTAGCCACTCAAAAGCCAGCAAGGTTCCATTCCAGATCCATTGCAAGCATTCACTGTGTGTTGTTTGCGCATTTTACGTGTGCGTGGTGGCGGCGTTTTTATTTTTCACCATTGAAACTGTGTTTTCGCGGCTTGCACTGGGCAGGTGACGGCGAAGCTGCAGCACTCGCGGAAAGCGTGCCGTCTTCGGAGGAAGCCATCTTGAAATGAGCAAAGTTGCTGCACGCACGAGAGAGGGCGCGCGGGTTGTCGCCCTTCCGCTTGCAAAAACGGCAGCGACGCAACGCGCTCCGCTTAGGCTGCTCGTAAGCGGACCGTATTCTCCGCTCTGTTAACCCTCTTAAGGCCTTAGCGGAGGGCGCATGCGCACTCGCGTTCCCACTCCGCTTAGCTGCTAAGCGGAGCGTAAAAACGTCAAACTAAAAACCTCTAATACCTTTTCTCGCTCTAGGAGGAAATACCCGTTCCGCGCGCCAGAAAAGGGGTATCGCGAGCGCCGGCCGTGAGGGTGGTGGTAGTGGTTACAATGAAGAGGAAAAAGGCACCTAATTTCTGTCTGCCTTCAGGCGACACGGCGCAGTGCCTTATAGGGGTGGGGGGAAGGAGGGATAAAAAGAATAGAAGGAAAGTAGAAGCAGAAGAAGACAGCCAACGAGAGGAAAAAGAAGGAGATAGGAAAGTGGGGATCCGGTCGAAGCAGTCCAAGGGCGGGGTGCCACAATGCGAGAGCTACACGGCATCAGGAGACCGCGGAGGGCGAACCAGTCGGCGGGAGCTACGCTGAAGTCGGAGATCGCGAGGGCACAACCGTCCAGCTTGAAATCCTGCGAGCGAATCCGCCGGCCGTGAGGGTGTTCCCGCAACTAGGCTTTCGCGCTGCCATAAAAGAGAGAAGGTGGCTGCGTGCACGTGCTCCCCCACAAAGTAGACGTACTGCTCTACAACTTCAAGCGCAATGCTACCTATCTGAAAACGCTGTTTTTCTTCCGAGGTTGTTGTCCATTATTTCCGTTTTCTGTAGATTAATTTCAGGACCTACCTTCCTGCTCTCCTTGTCTAATACAGTAATCATGATTTACCAATCGGCCCCTGAGTTACTTAGCCATGCAAGGTCATCGGCGAAGTACAGGTTACCGATGTACTCGCCATGAACATGTATTTCACAGTAAAATTAATAAAAGAAAGAAGATAAACGAACTACAGGCCTACGCGCCCATGTCCAGCTATGACGTCGTGTTAGGCGTTTTCTAGCGTTAGCTACACTGGCCTCGCTGAGCCGATTTCGCGTGGCACTGGTCTGCGCATACGCAATGATACTCCGCCACCACCACGCACGGCTCGCCGCCGGTGTGCGCGCAAGTCGATGCGCTGCGCAGGCGATCAGTGGTGTGACGCACCGGAGCCGGCACCTTCCTCGCACTCGGCCGCGGCCGCTCGCGACTCGCCGCCGCTGGTGTGCGCTTTTATCATTCATTTATTCACTGTTTATTCAGACAAAAACAATGATTGCCTAGGTTGAAGGGACTAAAGGCAGATTACCTCTGCCTGACTAAGGTCCCTCCACCTATACATTTGCTCAGGTGAAGTGGAACAAAGGATACAAATTTCATTCTGCTTTTGAATGAGGGGACACAAAATTCAAATTCAACAAGTATAACAGATGTCGACACATACGTTTTAAAATAACACGATACAGTCATCACCAATTTGCAGTATCAATATAAGAATTTTATATATATAATGCAGCAAGGAGAAATTTCTGACAGAATTACTAAGTACTATAGAGAAATACATTTGTAAAGAAAGAAATTGAGCAATTTTCATCTAATATGCAAAAGCACGAACGACACAAAAGAAATATTTATAATAAATAATACAAGGAATGCCGTCATAGCCTTGGTAGACATATGGACGCCGACGCGCGCGCCTTCCCTGTGCAGTCGCCATCTGACACTGCGCTGGAGCCGCTTGATAGCGTCTCTGACTGTCGTTTGCCACTGTGGTACTGCCATGGAGAAGGAGAGTGCAAATGCTACTCAACGGTGCAGTAGAGCGGAGAAGCTTAACTCATCGGATCCCGAAGTAGTTGCCCGGCAAAATAAATATACATGTGCCACATAATACGTATACCATGTGTGTGTCATTGGAACAGCTGTAAGCATGATATCTGGAAAGCAAAGAATAATCAGCTGAACCTTAGCTAACGCTGCGTATATCCTAGCATAGCTGAGCTAAGCCACCGCCATTTTTTATTTGTCACCAACTACACTTGTCTAATATTTGCTAGTTGACACCATGACGTTATTATAATGGCAACCTTGTTCTTTCATGAACGCAGGGAGACGCAGGCATCGATACATCAACAAGTGATGAAAAGGAGTACCGGCGTCGCCTGCACAAAGAGCTGCTTGAGAGAGACACTGAAAAGTAAGTACAGCGCTCACTACAATTCATGAATAAATACAGCATGACTGTTAAGTTCTAGACATGAATGCTAAAAGCTGGAGGGCCACCCTTGGTGAGCCTGCTACTGGCATTTTGCCCATTACTCAGCGCTAATTGTAGTCTTATTGCTTATGCTTGTTGGGAAAAACCAGGCTTCGAGGTTCCGCCAAGAATGGTGACCGCTGCAGTCGAGTATTCTACCACAGAGCTTGAAAGGCCTTCGCAAAAAAGCCATCATGTCAGACCTTGATAGAAGACACTTTGACAGAAGCTGGAGTGCTCATAACTGAGTCGGTGGACGCATGATTAATACAGGAACAAACACCATGAGACACGGAATGGCTGGACGAAGAACCCATTGTATACGGCGCCCTCGCCTGTCGTTTTTTCAGCGTCCCGTGTTCTCGTGTTTCCAGACGCGGAGAAGCGTCAGGTGCACAGACGTCCATGTCTTTTCTCACACAGTGAAGTTTGCACCAGGGGGGAGAAGGGGTGAAGCATTGCAAACCATTGAAAATGAGTGGTGCATTAAGGCCCGTTAAAGCTATCAAACTGCACCCGCGTTTGAACAGCGGAGCTGCGTCAGTCGATCGTTCATTCTTGCCGAGCGATTGGATAATCAGGAACCATCCCGTTCTGTTTGACTTCCAGAACATGTGCATTGATTTGTACGGGCAATAACTTTAATGAGCGAGATAACAAGTAGAGATGGAGAAGAAATGCGAGGTGAGGAGATAGGAAAGGAGGGAAGGTGGGAGCGCTGAGGAGGAGAACATTCTCTCAAAGTATGATGTTTATATCGTCACTTTGCGTCACCTACGCCAAACATTCTATAGCATGGCCATTAGGAAAGGAAGGAGGAGGGGTGTGAGTGTTTCGATGATTAAGAAGAGGAAAAATGCTGATATAAGTCAAAGCTAGAGCTCGGTGTTTCCGTATTCATAAAAAAATCATAAACACCCAGTCGTAAAGCGTTTTCTATTTCTGATTTATCAGATAAATCAATTTTCAAAGGTTATTCTCAACGTTGCAAGGATACTTTCAAAGCTTACAATAACGAATGCAATGGCGTGCACCTACAAGAGTGGCAGCAACGTTGTAAAAGTATGCTTGCGTCTAGTACGAAAAACCAAGTTTGTGATACAAAATTACGAAGGTGTTTTGTACTGGAGCACTATTTCTTCTGTGTATATAGGTTAATTTAGTCGAACGTTCCAGAGATCTAAAGTATACTTATTAGGTTCGCCTGATAACAAGGTCAGATATGATTTCCTGTAAGGTTTGGGATATTGACGATTATAGTAAGTAATGGATGCTTTATTTTTCAGCAAGATGATGAGAAAGACAGGCATGCGCAGCATGAATAGTCCCGTTTCTCCAAAACTGCATTTTGGTGATTTTACAATGGCTCACATGAATAGCCGTATTAACAGAATAAAGAGGGTAATAAACAGCAAGTGAGAAAAAATGAAGGATGGGGGAAGCAGAATTATCAGCGACTATGCATAGCAATTTCACTTGAAATAATTTAATATCTGGTGAACAATCCGAGACGACAATGAAGAAGCCAGGAAGCTAGCCGCAGCGTCGGTTGCGGACACATGGCCTGAGATTGCACTTACTGAGATTTTACTCTCTTGACGTCCCCCGTTCTTCAAGTACGTTAAAACGTGAATAAATGACGTGACATTTGGTGAAGCTGCGCCGTCTCCCCGTACGATCCTGCCTAGAACTTCGCTCACATAAACTCTGTCCTCCTTGTGACACAATCACGACCACTCTTATCTAGGTTGAATCTCAGGCCGTCCCCATCACTTGCATCACCGTGTATTCTCAACGAGATCACTTTACCTTCGCTAGCTCAGCTGAATCAGATTTTGAAGATTAGTTTTCGATGTACGAATGATTCGGTGCTAGTAACAAATGGGCAGACCAAAGTAAGCTTGGTTCCGTTAGGTTTTATCTCACGCACATAGCACAATGGTGCTTCAATAACCACGAGAATATTATTCCCACGTGGTCGGTTTTCGAGACATTTCTTACGGGCGTATTTGGACGCCCTGTGGCTCGCAGGGTCACACCTAGCAGCGTTCGTCAACGTGCGCAACAACCAAGCGAGAATTATACGGGCAACATCGACAATGTGCTGAATCTATTCAACCATGGCAACTACGTCGTGCCTAAGAAAGAGAAAATCAGACACATCTTCAAGGATACCAAGCAAAGCATCTTTCAAGCTCGCCCGAAATCCCGCCATAATTACTTGCGGCGAGTTGCGTGAGCAGTGTGCGATTGCCCGTCAAGCTCTCACGACGCCAGACATGCTCACAAGCTTGCAGGTAGCTCGCCCGTCCTGCCGATCAGCAAGCGCTCCTTTAAACGATGCAGGAGTTCATCCACGAAAAGGTAGCCAGCCAGCTGTCACTGCTGCCGCTCACGCATGAGACTGCTCATGCTTTTGCTCCAAATATTCAACACGTCAATAGGACCCAAGTCACTGAGGCCCTCCCACCGATGCCTCAGCAATCACTTGTCATAGCGTCTCTCACACACGCCACCGTCGCTGCTCGCCCCACGCAGCAGCCTGAGCCCTATTCTCATCCTGCCATGCTGCCCCATGTTGCACCTACAGCCGCGAATGCTTCGTCCCATCGCTTCACAAGATCTTCGGCTCCATTTTACCGTCGTCCAGACATTTGGCACACACCAGTAATTGACCCATCTGTTTCGACAGTGGTGTCGATGGACACATCACCCGCCACTGTCACCAAGCTCTTCCTCCGTTTGACAATGTGGGCAGGCCTGTTGCGTCGTCGTCAAGGGCGCCACCAAGATACATTACTGATGATCACCGACCCTACTGGAAGCACAAGTCACCATCTTTCCGACGGCGCTCTCCGTCACCTGCGCGTCGCCAACCTGCCACAGAAAAGGGAAACTGATCGCTGCAGCCCTGGAGGCAACAGCTGCATGCAAGTTGAAATGCCCAAAGCCTCCATCTATCTCGCCGCAAAACGTTATCAACGTCTATGTTAAAAGAACCACAGCTGAAACCCTATTAACACTGGGGCCGCTGTTTTCGTGAACTGCAAGACCACAGGGGGAAGTTAAAAAGGTTAGCACGTCGCTGTTGGGCAAGATGTTCCGCAAAGCCAACTCGCAGGCCATAAAACCTTGAGATGTGTGCATTACGCGTGTCGCTATTCGAGGTGAACTTTACGTAATTGAGATTTTGTGTGGCCGTCACGCTCCCACGAAGTCATTCTTTGGTGGAACTTTCTTTGGCGTCTTCGGGGATGCCTCGCTGCTCACGTGCTCAAGCCGCCCTTCCACCGCTGCAAACCTCTTTTTTAATGCACCCCTTACCCAAAGCTTGCAAACTTGTCATTGCTGCAGATAAACATAGCTCCAATGACATCCGCCCTTGTAGCCTTGACCTGTAGTGCCGCTCCAGACATAACTATTGTATTTACCCGTCTGACGTATTTGTCCACCGCTGTAGCTACAATTGCCCTTTGCCGTACTGACCATACAATCAGATGCTACAATCATGCTAAATGCGAGCTTGCCATCATCGTCAATTTATAAACTTCGCACGAATTTTTGGGCAACATAAAAAACGGTTACCCTCTGCGCTCTCTGGAGTTCGCTGAAAACCAACCTCTGCTGCCGCTTAATACCATGACATCGCCGTTGGCCACACCTTTCGCACCAGGCTTTTCCCACCCTTCTGTTGCCGCTGAACTATCACCAACACAACGACGCGAACTGTTGGCTCTTCTTCGAGAGTTTCACTCTTCCTTCGACTCCACTCAACCAACTTTGCGTCTCACAGCCAGCATCACGGATCACATTGACACTGCTTCTCATGCTTCTTTAGCCTACAACCATATCAAGTTTCAGCAGAATAGTGGCGCATTATTAACGAAGAAATCAATGCTCCGCACAAGGATGGTGTCATGCAGCCGTCTCAGAGCCCCTGGTGATCCCTTGCTGTGCTTGTGTGCAAAAAGGGTGGGTCTATCATATTCTGTGTCGACTACCGCTCGCTCAATAGGATAACTTAGAAGGTTGTATACCAGTTGTTACGCCTCGAAAATGGTCGCGATAGCTTGCAAGGAGAAAAAATTTTCTTGTGGTCGGATTGACGTTCAGTTTAATGGCAAGTTTCAATGGAGAACACTCATTGATGGAAGACTGTATTCGTGACGCCTGATGGAATGTATAAGTTGGACATCATGCCGTTCAGGCTCTGCCATGCCCCAGTTACTTTTGATGGCGTGATGACCACCATTCTTCTCGGCTATGACCTCTGGTACTTCAACGACATCTTCATTTTTTTTTTCTCGCGACTTTTAGACTCCCATTGCTCGTCTTCGCACAAATATGACGTGTCTCACCTCTGCTGACCTGAAGCTGAACATTTAAGAAGTGCCATTTTGCCGCACGCCAGGTCACTATACTGGGCCATGTCATCAGAGAGGATGGCGTTCTCCTGTGCTTGGCGACACTTTGTACCGTGGCCAAATATCCGAATCCATATTCAGAGAAGACATTTCGAAGTGCTATCGCACTTTCGATCGATATGTGGAGTTTAACTTTTCAAAACCATCATATGATCATGAGAGACACCGTAGTGGAGGGCTCCGGAAATTTCGACCACCTGGGGTTCTTTACGTGCACCTAAATCTGAGCACACGGGCCTACAACATTTCCGCCTCCATCGGAAATGCAGCCGCCGCAGCCGGGATTTGATCCCACGACCTGCGGGTCAGCAGCCGAGTACCTTAGCCACGAGACCACCACGGCGGGGCGTGCTATCGCATTTTGTTCATATGTTTGCCAATTTGTGCGTAACTTCGCTTTTGTCATCTCTACTCTTACCAATCTACTGACTGCCTCCAAAGGCATTTCTGCTTGGGCACGAAAGGGCGACGAATAGTTTATCACACTACAGCACCTGATAATACTTCCTCCAATAC